ATTAGAACTTAACGTATTTTTTCATCATTTTTGAGTGTTTTTTAAAGGAAGAATTATACAATAGATCACTCCATAAGGTGACCTTGCAGTATTTTAGCCATGTTACAAGTTTGTAAATGTGTAGCCAAATATCAATAAACTCATATCCGAATTGTTTTATTTTTTTTGATTCTCCAGATCTTCCGGCGTGAAAGATCCTTGAGTTTCCATTCTCCTTTTTTCCTCAAGTTTATACATACCTATCCCATCTACAAAAATACAAAAACAGACGCGAGAAACCTAATATCTCTTCTTCTTCAATGCTAATCTTGTTATATTTTAAATATGATTTTGTGAGAAATTTAGAGTGGGTATTGTTTGAACTTATTAGAAATAGTCTTAGTAGGTTGTATACAAAGTTTGAAGTCATTTGATGGAGTTTTGGACTAGTTTAGAACAAGAATTGCAAGTGAAATCATATAAGAAGTTCGTCAGAGATGTCTATACACTTTTATACGACATTATACACTTTTATACAAAGAGTTACATTATATATGTAGTTGTTGAAAGGTGTATAAAGATGTATAAGCACTGTAAAAAAAATATTCGTGATACCTATGTATATACGTGTAGAAGAAGAAGAATATGTGAGAAATTTACCAAATACATGTAAATAATGTATTATTGTGTATGAGAGTTGTTTATACACTATTATATACTATTTATACAATTTTATAACATTATTATACAGATGAATCCTATCAATGGAACTGCACGTGTTCTTCTTCTTTCTTGGGGATCTTCTGAAATTTAGCTCAAATCTAGCTTAAATCTACTCCAAATCACTTCAAATTTAAGTTTTGAACTCCTCTTGATGATTCCAATCAATTGGGACAACACCCAATCCAAACAACTAACAAATCAAAAAAATTTGAAACACCTTTAATGGTGACTTCTATTTTTCAAGTTTTTAATCAACCACTGGAATTAGAATTACACGCGGAATGAGGATAAGACTGAGATCATGCCAATACCTTCTTTCTAGTTTGGTGATACAACAACCTACCAAGTGAACCTCTTTAGTGCAAACATAGTTCTTTCCACTCCATTGAAGGAAGTGATCTTCATATGACTCCAAAAAATTAATTCTTTTATGTATTATTTTTTCTTCTTCATCCAAATAGTGATTATCGACTTTGAATCTGGAGGAGCGTTGATGGAGAATAACAATGATGGAGAAAGTTTGGGATGCAAAGTTGGGACACAAGGAGAAGAAGAACAGAGAAAAGAAAAAAAAATTAAAAGAGTGGGCTAATGGGTGAAAAGTAATTTTCACATTATATACAACCTGGGCAATATTGGGTTAGGGCTTCAAACGTGGGTCATTTTTTGATGGGCTATTGAGCCAAGTGATAGGATTGTAATTCTCCCATTTTTAAACTTTTCCTACAAAATAGGTGATAAAGTCTAGGAATTTTTACCTCCTATAGCAAAGGTTAACACCTTATTTATTTTAAATAAATACCATTTAAAAAAATTATATTCTATAGATACCTTTAAAGGTTTATAGCAAAATATTTAATTTTGGTTACCTCCTAGCCCTAAGCCACTAAATACGCTAATCAGTTACACTATTTTTTTTCTCTCTCTACTTTGATACATCCCATTCTCTTCCCCCATCCGATTAAAATTTCTCAGTGTAAATAAAATCCCATACTTCCTCTCTCACGCTTTGTTCCCTAACATACCAGATCCCCCGCCACCATTAACGCCTAAATTGACCCACCTCCGCCGTCTACCACCACGGATTCCCTCTTGGACCTGCCACCTCTTCCCACTTCCACCACCAAGGTCCGCCTTTTATGCAGCTACAGTGGGCATATAGTTTCAGATCCTTCACATTCCGATTTGACTGATCTAACTGTTGAGCACGAATAAGAACACGGCCTTGAAAACAGGCAATTCTCAGTTGCATCAGTTCCTCATGAACTCGTCAGTTCAGTGGATTTTCATGTATTTCATTGTATTTTCAATGTATCACGCTGTATTTTCATGTATTCATTGTCGTTTTTTCATTGTAATTCAATGTATCTCGTTGTATTCGCTGTCTTTTTTTTCATTGTATTTCAATGTATCCCGCTGTATTATATGTATTCCATTATATTCACTGTCTCGCTATATGCCATGAATGTATTCATATATTTTTTTAAATTAATATAATTTATGTATTAAGATGTATTATATAATTTCTCTGAAGGTTGCTATATTTTTGGGGTATTTTTCGGTTGAGAATCTTTTTTATAACTGAAAATACAAAATTTGTGTGTTATAATTGAGTTTGTTGAGTTATATTAGGAGTCTATTATGTTAATTGATTCACTTTCCGTTTTAAAAACAGTGTAATCCCCTATTTCACGCCGTGAATACAGTCGAATACAATAATCTGTCCAGCTGTAATCCCATGTTTCACTCCATGAATACAGCCGAATACACTCGAATACAACAACTGATTAGCTGGACTTCCCTGATTCACGCCTATTTTTGCTATTGTATTCATGAATACAATAGCTTAAATACATCAAATACATCGTATAACCACACAAAAGGTATCTATAATCCGTAATATAGCAAATGATATCTATAGATGGCTAATTACTACCAAAAGATAGTGTTTTATGAAAATTTCTCCAAAGTCTACCGTGCATTGATTTATGGATATGAGTTAATTTAGTCGATCTTGAATATATTAAACTTCTATTGAAGGAAACTTAGTTTGTGTTTCAGTTGTCTCAGGTTTTACTTAAATTAAAGTAGCAATTTGAAGAAGATTCGACTTGCCCACATCTAAATTTGAGACTGTACATAACTTCTAAGGTTAAGATTTTTGATATACGAAAGATTAATGGGTTATCATCATATATTTATATGTGTTAGGTGTTTGCCATAATTTTCTTACAATAGTTGGTTTTCCTATCTCTTGAAGGAAAAGGGCAATACAATTACCTTAATTGAGTTTTCCTTTTTGTAAAAGGAAATTATAAATCTCCAATATTTGGCTAGTCCTTTTTCTTATAGGAAAAGGTTTGGACTTCTATAATTGAGGATCCTTCCTTCAAATTCACTAGCATCCACAATGTAGCCATAGGGGGCTTGAGAGTCTTGTTTAGGGGGAGAACTTTACGGGACAAGTGTTAGTGTGTCACTTGTGTTTGCCTCTTCGTGAGGTTGTTCTTTCGATATTTTGTACTCTCTTTTTATTAAAGTGGATTGCTCATCTCCGCCGTGGACGTAGGTCAGTTGACCGAACCACGTTAAAATGTTTGTGTCTCTTTTGGTAGATTTCTCTTTGTTGTGTGATTCATCGTCGTTCAAGATTTGTTTTGCTAGCTTCCGCATGACACCTGATTTTTTTCGGTCCCAACAATATGCTCTCACTGTTCCAGCTTATGTGAGCCTATTTCCTTTTTGGTCCGTTCCAAAAAGAATGATCCCTTTCTAAATTTGGTAACAATTTAGATTAAACTTACAATTCTACCCTTAATGAAAAGCTTTTATAACCACACAAATACTCAGGGCCCCTTTTTGACTTGTTTGGGACCACAAATTCCACAAGTTCATTTTTTTTTAGACTATGTGTTCAGTCAAACAGGTTCACGTAAACTGGAACGGAGGGAGTATAAAGATTGTTAGTACGTGATATGTGAATTAGGAATTTTGAATTCGCGAAACCAAATTGGTGGGGTATGACAAAATCGAACGAGTAATATAATGGGTACGACGAAATTAAACTTCTAGTGCAATTAGTGTGATAATGCTTAGATATAAGAAAGACTTGAAACTTGGTTATACACAGCAACCTCTTCCTTTTTAAAGCAGAGATTTATGTAACAAAACTTAGAATATGGAGTAATACTCTAGTCTGAAAACCGTAATTATGGAGTATTATTATTGAAAATTCATCCTTAGTCTTCTTACAAAAATATCGATATAAAGGAGGTAAGCATAAATATTCCAAACTATAAAGGAATTGAGTACCATAAAAGCAATTCTAGAGGGGTGTCTTTGAAATTATTTGTATAATTTATTTCAACTATTTGATCGTAAAATATATGCCCATTTTAATGTAATGTATACATTTTCAAAAGTAAGACATCCCGTTATTGATGAATATTTCAAAAGTGAAATACAGTTTAAGATACAAAATAAAATAATTTAACCTGTATATACAGTATGTACAAATTATTTTGACTTGCTTCTCGCCAAGTTTTCTTTACCTTTTCTACATTTTCAAAATTTTGTAATTAAATATAGAATAGATAATAGCACTTTTGGTCCCCTAATTATATTGAACTCCAATTTTGGTCTTTCTTATTTATCGTTACACACAATAACCTTCAAGTAATTGCAATGTGCACTTTTGATCCCCATGGTTGTGAACTTTCACAAGTTTAATGAATTATTGACTGTTAAACCTTTTTGTTATCCATATGTATGTTAGATTTGTGTTGTCGCTTTATAATTTTTTAGGATAATTAGCTCTACAAATTGTCTAAATATAAGTGATTTCCTCTATTAAAGGGACCAAAAGTACACATTTGAATTAATTAAGGATTAAATGTGCTTAGCCAAATAATATTACAAGGATCATTAGTTCTTTGATTTGCTCTTCTGTACGAGTTAGAATGCTGGACGCTTACATACTTTGCGTTCTTGAACTGCCTTATTAGTTCACCATATACTATTCCGATGTAATGAACTCAACAAAATGATGCCTTGACTAAACTTCCAAATAAAATTATTTAATTTTTTCATATATTAAGAAAAAATTATTTTTTTCTTTTCAAAGTTGCTCTTAAAGTAAAGAACCTAGAAATAGTTTATTATATTCTCGATAAATAAATTAAGGTTAATATAATTAATTTAATTGATAAGAATTTATTAATACATGTGAAAAGAGCCCAAAAAATGGAGGGGATGAAGTAGTATTAGTATTGGGTTTTGTGAAACAGTCAACTAGTAGCAGTCAGGTTTATGGATTAGGCCAACTTAGAAGCCTCCTATGAAACCTCCTCCTCAAATTTCCCCTCTTTATAACAACGCTCCGCATACTCTTTTTTTTTCCACTCAACTCAACTTTGAATATCTTTCAAGAATTTGAAATATCAAAATTAATGGCATCACCACAAGAGAATTGCACTACACTTGATTTGATTAGGAAACATCTTCTTGATGATGTAGCTTTTATGGAATATTACTGCTCCGAACCAACCACCCTTTATTCCCAAAGCTCCTCCTCTTCTGATCAATCTTTAAGCTCTATTATTAATGCTTCTGAGCTCAATAACGACACTTTCTCCTTTGAAGCCAACACAACACAATCTTCCAAAACAGAGTTTGATAGCTTCGAGTTTGAGACAAAACCAAATTTGTCAGCTGCTCGTATTAGTTCAAATTCTCCGCACCAAACGAGCTTCAAAGAACGCAAGCCTTCTCTTAACATTGCGATACCAATGAAGCAGGTTCAGAAAGTGGAAATTTCCAACGACACCGAGAAGAAGCATTACAGAGGAGTTAGGCAAAGGCCATGGGGAAAGTTCGCAGCAGAAATTCGTGACCCGAACCGAAAGGGGACTCGGGTTTGGTTAGGAACCTTTGACACTGCCTTAGAGGCGGCCAAGGCATATGACAGGGCTGCGTTTAAGCTTAGAGGCAGCAAAGCGATAGTGAATTTCCCTCTTCAAGTTGAGCAACAAGATAATGATGAGATTCGGCCATTGGTGAATTCAAGCAGGAAAAGGGTGAGGGAAACAGAGAATGAGGAGCAACTAGCTATCAACAAGGAAGTGAAAAGAGAAGAAGAAAGAGTCCCCACGGCTCCATTAACGCCGTCAAGTTGGTCGGCTATTTGGGACTGTGGAGATGGGAAGGGTATTTTTGAGGTGCCGCCACTGTCACCATTATGGCCTATTCTAAGCTTGTCATGATATAATCAAAAAGGACAAGGCGTATATACTTTATTATAATGTTAGTATTTTGGCAGATGAATGATATATAAATATGCACCTGACCACAAGAAAGTCTGAGGTGAAATAAAGAATTAGGATTAGGATTCAATACAACATGTAGAATAAAGGATGTGTCTTTGGCTCTTTAATCTTTGTCTGAAATAGGCAGTGCGTCTAACAATTTGTTCGATTGATCTATTCATTTTAGAGAAAATGATAATAATAGTTTCTTATGTTTGGGAGTAGGTTTAACATAGTAAAGCTGAATTTTAAGAGAAGCATATGCCAACAGGACGATTTCTAAAAATAGTTTCTTCACTCACCGTAAAACATACATCTGGTCTTTTTGAATATTTCAATGATTTCTAAGCTACGATGTATTCCACCACTTCCTACAAATCCACCGCCACTAGCAGTGGCAAATTGAGCATCTAATTTTTGTCCGCATAAGAATTATAGTTCAAAATAATTTATTACTTTTATAGAATTTTAGGAATTTTTCCTTATTTGTATTGCATTTATTCACGTTGTTCATGCATATTTAGAAATGTTTTAAATCATAAAAAATCATCAAAAATGTTTTATCTTTCATTTAGTGTGTTAATTGCATTATCAAACGAAAATCACAAAAAAAGAAAATGGTTATTTTTACATTTTTAGTTTTTAGTTTTAAATTAATAATTTCCTTTCATTAGTAATAAGTTAACTAATTTTTCTATGTTAGAAAATAGGTAAGTAGGTTTAATTTTGCAAATTAGATTTGAATGAGGATTTAATTTAGTATTTTTAATTTACTTGTTTAGAATTTAAAATCAAAGAAAACAAAGAAAGAAAACTGAGAACGCATAGAGAGATAGAGCAAAAGAGGCTAGCACTCATCTTTGTTTTTTAAGTATCAGCTCAAAACCATCCCCCGAACAGCCCCAAAAGGCAACCAAAAAACAGCCCTCAAATTCGTCCAAAAATCATTCAAAACCAGCTATGTTTTTGTTAGGACCGAAAAAGTCAAGTGTCATGCGGAAGCCAGTAAGGCAAACCTTGAAAGATGATAAGTACGACAACAAAGAGAAATCTACCAAAAGAGACACAAACATTTAACGTGGTTCGGTCAACTGACATACGTCCACAACGGAGATGAGCAATCCACTATAATAAAAAGAGAGTACAAAATATTGAGAGAACAACCTCACGAAGAGGCAAACACAAGTGACACACTAACACTTGTCCCATAAAGGTCTCCCCCTAAAACAAG